TTTTCACTTTATTACAAGCTTAAACTTTCATCCTCTTTCCCGACAGTTATCACAAGCTATCTAGAACTCTTTATCTGCACATCAAGATGGGAGGTTAGCTAGACAGCTTTCCAGCAGTTTTATAACAACATCTTCCATAATGCTTGCAGACTTTGACAAATTTAGCCAATAGCTTTTATGTCAACGACTAACAGAAGATTATGGTGAGAGCTACCTATTGACCATCCGTAGTTCAAATATGCTTTTCAGAGAAACTGCTATGTTTACATAGCAGGGTTAATCCAACCTCTAGTGGCTGTCTTCCTGACAGCCGCTTGAAGCGCTTATGCAACGCTGGATGCGAAATTCGCATCCAGCGTGCATAACGTCCATAGAAAAGCACTGAGAGACTCTTTCCTATGGACATGGGCGTCCGCAGGAATTTTTCCAGGGGGGGGGCATAATTGTAATGACATCCATGCTTGGTACCTTTTTGACAGTGTCATGAAAGGGAAGGGGCATAGCCATTATCACATAAAGCCAGGGTGAATAGCGTTTTCACAACTATGGTGTCAGGAATATATGTTTGTATTCCTGACACTATAGTGTTCCTTTAAGCAAATTAAAGGACATTTCTGGTCACCTAAATGAAAATGCTATGATGCCAGGAAGCCCCTGGGTGCTCGCTTTCCTTTAAGGGGTTAAATCGCTCTCAAATGGTTTAACCCCAAAGGCTTCCTCCAGCTCCAGGTCGCTCAGTGGTAGTTGGCTTCTGAAACAGAGTGTCAGGAAGTGCAGATTGACGTCAGGCATGGGTGCCGCTGATTGGCTAGAGTGGACAGTTGACGCTCTAAGCCAATCGCTAGTTCCCGGTTCATAAAATATTTTTACTTTTTTATGAATGGGGAGTTACTGATTGGCTTAGAGTGCCAGCTGACCGCTCTAGCCAATCAGCAACACCCCTACCCAACGGCACTCTGTGCTTCCTGACACTGAGTAAATAAAAGTGAACACATTAACACCGATATTTTTTTACCTTTGGAGATGAGAAGGTCCAGCGTTTCCCTGCCAGGCCCAGGTACCAAAGCCTTATGATGTGGTTCACTTCATTTGTCCTTCCTGCTCCAATCTCTTTTTCCTCTCCTTCATTTGACAGTCTTTTTTTTTTCTTCTGACACTGTTTTCTATCCTTGGCCCCTTCTGCTCTTTTACCTTTTTGCTACTTTCTGCTTATTTTGCGCCCTTCTGCTCCTTTCTCATTCTGATCCCTTTCTGCTCCTTGCAGACCCTTTCTGCTCCCTTTTCTACTTTACCTTTGTGCTCCTTGCTGTCCCTTTCTGCTCCCTTTTCTACTTTACCTTTGTGCTCCTTGCTGTCCCTTTCTGCTCTTTACCTTTGTGCTCCTTCTGATTCTTTCTGCTCCTTTACCTTTGTGCTCCTTGCTGTCCCTTTGTGCTCCTTCCTGCTCCTTGCAGGCCCTTCCTGCTCATTCTCCTACTTTATGTTTGTGCTCCTTCTGCCCCTTCCAGCTCATTTCTGACCCTTTCTGCTCTTTCTACTCTACCTTTGTGCTGCTTTACCTTCCAGCTCCTTGCTGACCCTTCCTGTTCATTTCTATATATCTATAGGCTGCTGCCCCCACAAATCTAAGGGCTGCTGCCCCCAAATCTAAAGGCTGCTGCCCCCCCCCAAATCTATGGGCTGCTGCCCCCAAATCTATAGGCTGCTGCCCCCTCCCCAAATCTATGGGCTGCTACACCCAATTCTAAAGGCTGTTCACCCCCTCCCCAAATCTATGGGCTGCTGCCCCCAAATCTATAGGCTGCTGCCCCCCTCCCCAAATCTATGGGCTGCTGCCCCCCCAAATCTATGGGCTGCTGCCCCCAAATCTATAGGCTGCTTCCCCCCTCCCCAAATCTATGGGCTGCTGCCCCCTCCCCCAAATCTATGGGCTGCTGCCCCCAAAAATCTATGGCTACTGCCCCAAATTCCAAAGGCTGGGCTGCTGCCCCCAAATTCCATATAGGCCGCTGCCCTCCCCAAAATCTATGGGCTTCTGCCCCCACCCAAAGGCTGCTGCTGCCTCAAATCTATAGGCTGCTGCCCTCTCCCCAAATTCCATGGGCTGCTGCCCCAAAATCTAAAGGCTGCTGCCCTCCCCACCCATAATGCTGCCTCCCCCTCCCCAATCTATGCTGCCGCCCCGCCAAATCTATGCTGCTGCCCCCAATCTATAAGCTGCTGCCCCCCTCTCAAACCCTCCCCCCATCCCCCACTTACCTGAACTGTAGGCTGTCTCTGGCTGCATGTGTTGTTCCCCTGCGGTTTCAATCAGCAGAGAGAAGCCGGGATAAGATGCAGCTTCCTATCCCTGTCTCTCTCCATACAGCGCCGGTATTGCAGTTCATTTTAAATCACACAAAAAATATCAGAACAAGCTGAAAAATCCAGGGGGGGGCAAGTGCCCCCTCTTGCCCCCCCCTGCGGACGCCCATGCCTATGGACTGTTAGAATGCACACTCAACTCTTGCCGCGCATGTGCATTCCGCTCCACTCGGTAGCTGACGTCGGTGGGGAAGTCCCCGATGCCGAGGGAGCATGGCGCTGAATTAAGGTAACCCCTTCAGCACAATGGGAGGGGGCCCTGAGCAGAGGCGGCTCTAGACTTTATGAGGCCTTAGGCGAACTTCAAGCATGAGGCCCCACTTACACCCAAAGTATAAAATAACAGGGTTGTATTTTGTATAAGTGTAAGGAGCATTCGCTATATCGAAAGGCGTGCTTGCAGCGCTGGATACAGAGAGTCAGTCTCTGCATTCATTGTTCAGAAGCTTGCAATGTCAGAGCTTCCTGTGCTCCTGCATTGTGAGCTCTCTGGCTATAGTTGTAGCACATTTTGCAAACAAAATTAATTTGCAATAAATTTAATTTGCAATTATGCCAATCGTTTATACACAATTGTGGGGTATGGTAGCATAGCCCGGCAGTCGTGTATAAATAAGTACTGGTGTGAAGGGGTTCTCAAAAACAAAAATGAAAATTTAATATTTAAGTGACAGGCATAGTTGGGGTGGGGTGAGTATTACAGTTTTGGAGTGAAGGGTAAATGTGGCATGGTTGGAGGAAGGAGTGTGACAGGATTAAGGGGGTTAATGAGTGTGGCAAAGAGAGGGCAGGTGAGTTTGGAGGGGGTGAGATTAACAGGACTAGGAGTGGTTAGTGAGAGTGTGGATGCATGAAAGGGCTGAAAGTGTGAAGGGGGTGACAGTGTGAGGACGGGTGACAATGTGTGGGAATGTGACAGTGTATGAGTATGGTGACACTACATTGTAGGGGTGACACTGTGTATAAGGGAGAGTGACTGTGTGTAAAGGGGATGATACTGTGTGTGTGAGGTGGTGACAGTTTGTGTGTGTGTGGAAGGGGTGATCTGGTGAGGGAGGGGGTGATAGTGTGTGTCAGGTCCTCAGTAACTGACCGAGGACCTGACACAGATTGCCCACAGGTGGTTTAGGCGGCCGCGAGGCCCCAGCCGGCGCGAGGCCTTAGGTGGCCGCCTAAACCGCCTAATTAGAGAGCCGCCTCTGGCCCTGAGGGTCCCCCAAGGATGACATAGTGTCAGGAAACCGGGCTTGTTTTCCTGACGCTATAGTGATACTTTAACGTCTGTTTCATAGTTTACAAACTGTTTGTTAAATTGTTGGTTGTTGTTTTGCTTGTAAGGAAAGCTAGGTGTTTAGTTGGTGGGTGGGTGATGGGTGTAAGGTTAGATTGGCTATGGTAGAAGTGTTAATAGTAGGTTTAGTTATCAATTTAGTTAATGTTTAGTTCTCTTATTTATACTTGGTTTTACTATTAGTAATATTAGTAATTATATTAGTACTAATACTTAATTTTATAAATACATTTTGTATTGTTAATTAAAAAAATAAAATATTGTTAATATTATTTTTATTACTTGTTTAATTTTTCACTTCCCAAAGCCTCCAATTTCCTTTTTTTTTTTCTTTTTTTTTTTTAAAGACATGTTTGTTGCACAGATTTTATTAATTATAGGTAATATTACATTTAACAGTCCAGAATCAAAACTGCTGGCTGATCATTCCCCACCAGTGTAATATTTGCATATGTAAGTTCCAACCAATCACACTGTGTATTCAAATTGTGGGGTGACTGTTTACCCTATCTAGTTTCAGTTACATCAGTTGGAATTATGCAGCCTCTCTGTGAGTAAAATTTATTTTCACCACTCTGATGTATCATAAACTAACACCTGTTTACCTTCAACTGGCATTGAGCTTTACTGGTACATAAACTTCATTAACATGACAACAAAACATTACATGGTGTCAGAAAGAAACAGATCTCTTCTATCGACATAGATACAGCTGGAGTCCCAACACCCACAATTTACTGGGAAGCAAGAAACTTGCCTGGAGGAAGTTCAGACAACACGCATATCTCATGTTCGGCAGACCCCAGAAAAATAAGGATGAGGATGAAAAATGCTGTTACCTTCTACTTGGTGAAAAGGGCAGATACATTTTTAATACATGGGCCTTACCCTGCAGACAATGTTAAGTTGTTAAAGTCATATTATGACGATTTTGCAGCATATGTCAAGCCCACAGCAGGTTACAAGTTCCATCACAAAGGACAAGGAACCCCTTGGGCAGTTCTTAAGAGACTTGCAGCTCCTTGCTCAGGACTGCAATTATGCTCAGAGAGAGGAGATGATATGACACCGCATTGTCTTCGGCATACTCTCCAAGAGTGAGAGAAAAATGATCAAGTCAGGCCTGAGGAAACACTATAGAAAGCAATCAATATCACCAGATCACATGAATTGGCCCTGTCACAGCTACTGTCCATCTCCAAGGGCCAATGCCCAGATGCTACTCATGGCGACATCATTCACCAGGCTTTCTGCCATACTAGCAAAGATGCAGACTGGAGACAACATAGTGCCCCTCACAAACAGAAGTATTAGCAAGCTTTATGATCTTGTGGCTCTCACTCAGCGCACCACACAGAGTTTGACTACTGTGTAAGTAAAGCACATTCCACCCGCTATCAATGTCCTGCAAGGGGGAAAATATGCAAATTGTGTGGAAAACTTAACCACTTCGCCAAAGTGTGCCTTTTCAGCTGCGGGAAAAATGTCCATGCTGTTAATAAAGAAGACACTGAACCAGAAGAGCATGATGAAATGTTTGTAGACTCTGTGGCCCAAAGCAATCAGAGTCCAGAGCAAGCTTTTCCAGTTTCCAAGTCAGTCCAAAACAAATTGGAATACGATTCAAGGTAGACACTGATCCCTCAGCTAATGTAATTTCCCTATACGAATACAATAAGCTGAAACTCAGTGCACTCTGCGACTGGCACCTCAGCACTTATATGGCTATGGTGGTGAACGCTTGGTAGTTAAAAGAACACACTTTTCACCCCTCTAACACACTGCACCTCTCACACACACACACACTGCACCCCTCACACATACACACAGCATCCCCTTTACACTCTGCACCACTGACACACAATACCGCCAAACATGTACACCACTAACACACACCCATTACACCCTTCACACACACTTTACCACTCACACATACACACAGCACACCCTTAACACACTGCACCACTCACACACACACGCTCAATACCTCCAAACATATATATATAGAAACGTGGAAACATAGAATGTGACGGCAGATAAGAACCCTTCGGCCAATCTAGTCTGCCCAATTTTCTAAATACTTAAATCACTCATGCCATCTATCAACAGCACACTCTTCTAAATGAAAACCAACAGCACCTGAAGATGCCGGGGAGCTACATCCCCAAAAGTGACCTTTTGGGCCGTAGTTGATTTTTTTTTCTCGCCTAAAGTTAGCTTTGAGGAAGGGGTACTGTCCCGGTTCCCATCGTAACTTTCAGAGTGCCAAGCGAGGTTACCCCAGGAGTGCCCAGCAGCGCATTTGAACCTGGGTACTCTGCATTCCTTGGGCTGCTATATTACCTCTGAGCTACTATTTAGCTTTATATATATATATATAAATATATATATATATAGATAGATACATTCATACATACATACATATATATATATATATATATATCACCCCTCACACACATACTGCACCCCTAAACATATTACGTTCCAGACACACACAAGACCCTTTACCCACCTCTGGATAATCTACACACACACACACTTGATCCCTATATACACTCTGAATCCTCTACACACACACACACAATCTACTATACACACACTCTGGGAACTTCCTGGCATTTGTGTCTTCTGGTATCCTATCTATGGAGAAACCAGAGACCAGAGACAAGTATCAAGCAAACACAGTGCAAGCATTTTTTAAAATTTGCTAGCGCTGTGCAGAATACACAGGGACTTTTCATCATGCTAGAGCTCTTCGGCAGAGCTCTCTGCATGGTCTGCCCTGGAAGAGCATTGAACCAACATGCTCACTTTGTGATGGGGCGTGCTTGTCATTGGTGATGACAAAACACACCCTATCTGGCCCTTCTCAGTGGGCCACTGTGATTAAAAAATGCCCGGGCCATATTTTCTTCCCAGTCCAGCACTGCAGACCTATAATGTATGTATCAGAATTGCAGACTTTGTGTTCTGTTAGCTCTCGGCTGCTCTGTACATTTTTTTCAAAGTACACAAAATGACCGGTTTGTTACTCATTTCAGAATCTGTAGGTTTTACAGAATGACTAAAAAAGAATCTATCATGGAAAGTGTGCTTTTCAATTACTTTGCTTAGAATGCATGGTACTGTCATACAGTTCAGTCTCACAGCAATTAAAACTGCAAGGTTTGTTCTTTTTAAAAGTTATATTGATCTGTAATCACTTTCTCTCCCAAATTGAACCACCACACTTAAAGAGATTCGTAAAGATAATCTGTCAACTAAAAAAAGAAAAACATTAACATTATCACTTTCAAAGTATTTGTAGGATGTGTGTTTTTTTTAACTCTTCAATGTGGTGTATGGATCTGACATTTAAAAGAAGTGACTTCACAAAATTGCATAATAAACAAATGATTTAAATAATCCTGATCCTGAATAGATTTAGCAGTTCCCAAAAAATATGTATGTGTGTGTGTATATATATTTATTGATATACAATATTTACCAACAGGTAAAAGTACCTTACTATTCTAATCTGATTTTGGAGCCCCATTGATAATTCTTGCCATGGTACTCCCTAAGGTTGATAGGAATTGTTACACATTATCGCTGATGAAAGTGTATACTGCAAGGCTGTACATTTATTATGAAGACAATAGTCCTGATATATCAGAAGATAGGCGTATTCAGTATACTAAGAAAGAGGAGAGGTGTGTCAGGTGCTCGCTTCAAAACAAAAAGAGTAAATAAGCAGCAGTAACTAGTGCAAGGATTCCCAGCCTTGTAAAGTGACAATATAAAAAAAGGAGAAGAAACTGCGCTTTAAATAAATTCTTACATACATACACTTGATGTCCCTTAGTCGGTATGGATAATATATCCTCAAAAAAAAAAACACAAAGAGGGAAATACAATAGTGCAATATGTTATAAAAAACCAGAATTACTGTGTAAACTGAGGTATTTCAAACTCACATTTGGTAGAGCTAATCAGGAGCTCTACCTTAACTTGCACGGACGGTACAATCCCCGTCTCAGGATAGAGAGTTCAACTTTTCAATGCTCCAATGGTGTGGTGGCATAAAAATAAAAACAGAAGAGAGAGAACTCCAATAGTGTAGTAGTTCTAATTAAAATGTGGAACAGATAAAATGAAGATGATTGTACTCACATTTATTAGAGCAGACAACTTGCTCTAGTATAGAAGGCTTGCAGTGGTATAATCCCCACTGAAGGATATATGATACCAGGAAATGATGAGGAAGGTGAATAAAAATAAAGTAGTATATCACTTTAAAATTATATTTAATGGCAACAAGTATTTGTAATATAATAAATAAAAAGGGCTATAAAAGATAACACTTTACGCGTTTCGCCTGTTCGGCTTCATCAGAAGTGTAAAGTAAGTGTCCTCAAGTTCATCATTAATATATAAACTTACATAAGTAGAAATGACTTCCTGGTGTGTTGTGGAACGCACGCGGCAACAAACCGGAAGCGGCGCGGCGTCCACGTGTACATAGATACCCGCCGTGGAACGCACGCGTCGCACCGGAAGTGACGCGACGTAACCACAGGCAGTTTGAATACATGCGTTTCAGCAGTGGAACGCATAGTGTCCGCGGCATGTTTCTATGACGACTGGATACTTTCGCGGCGATTACAGATGCCAGAAATCCTCTTGTGAAGAAGGGCCAAATGTCTGAAGATATAAATTGATGCGTTCCAACAGTGGAGCATATAATAGTCATAAAATGATCTTGTGTTCATGAAAAGTCTCTTAAAACATGATCCAAAGTTGAGTTCAAATGTCCATATCATGTAAATCTCAGCATTTTAAACCGAACACATAAAGAAGAAAAATAGAAAAAAATAGAAAAAAATATATTTACATCATAAGACAATGTCCGACTTTAAAATAGGATGTACATGTGTAAAAAAATATATTAAGAATGAAAAATACAGATTACATATAAATATGACTTTATGTATAAAATTAAAATTAAAATTAAAAATATTTTCTTAAAAAATACTCTTAAAAATTACAAAAATTAGAGACAGAATATATATAAAAACATTAGGTGCATAAGAAATTGGAGAAAGCCCAGGGATGGAGTATATTATAATTGGGTATAGACAATTTGTTAGGTCAGTTGAGAATTATAAAAAGAGATGGAATGGGTTTACAATATGAATACCCTACACCCAGATGGACTAAATGTGGAATTTGATCTGTTTAATTTTTTATAAAAATAGTATTTTATAAACACACTTTTCTTGTATAAAAATAATTTTAAAAACTTTTTATAATTCTCAACTGACCTAACAAATTGTCTATACCCAATTATAATATACTCCATCCCTGGGCTTTCTCCAATTTCTTATGCACCTAATGTTTTTATATATATTCTGTCTCTAATTTTTGTAATTTTTAAGAGTATTTTTTAAGAAAATATTTTTAATTTTAATTTTAATTTTATACATAAAGTCATATTTATATGTAATCTGTATTTTTCATCCACGGCGGGTATCTATGTACACGTGGACGCCGCGCCGCTTCCGGTTTGTTGCCGCGTGCGTTCCACAACACACCAGGAAGTCATTTCTACTTATGTAAGTTTATATATTAATGATGAACTTGAGGACACTTACTTTACACTTCTGATGAAGCCGATCAGGCGAAACGCGTAAAGTGTTATCTTTTATAGCCCTTTTTATTTATTATATTACAAATACTTGTTGCCATTAAATATAATTTTAAAGTGATATACTACTTTATTTTTATTCATCTTCCTCATCATTTCCTGGTATCATATATCCTTCAGTGGGGATTATACCACTGCAAGCCTTCTATACTAGAGCAAGTTGTCTGCTCTAATAAATGTGAGTACAATCATCTTCATTTTATTTGTTCCACATTTTAATTAGAACTACTACACTATTGGAGTTCTCTCTCTTCTGTTTTTATTTTTATGCCACCACACCATTGGAGCATTGAAAAGTTGAACTCTCTATCCTGAGACGGGGATTGTACCGTCCGTGCAATATAAGGTAGAGCTCCTGATTAGCTCTACCAAATGTGAGTTTGAAATACCTCAGTTTACACAGTAATTCTGGTTTTTATTATAACATATTGCACTATTGTATTTCCCTCTTTGTGTTTTTTTTGAGGATATATTATCCATACCGACTAAGGGACATCAAGTGTATGTATGTAAGAATTTATTTAAAGCGCAGTTTCTTCTCCTTTTTTTGTATTCAGTATACTGATTGGCACAATGTGAGTTTGAGTTTAGTTTGAACATAAGGACAATTTAAAAGCACAACTATGAAATCTCCTCTAGTCCAGGAATCGATTGCTGAACCATCTTGACTGAGAACAAAAACAGAGAATATGAGAACTCTAAAAACAGGAAAAAGCTGCCTTTTGGCCTTTGGTTAGTCCCTGCTCACTGGGGGACCTAGAGCGCCCCCTCCCGATACCCACCCCTGAGCGGCGGGTGGGGACCCTAAATGAGAATGTTTGGGGGCCTATTGTCAAGATACAGCCGAGGCACGAATAGAATCAGAGTTTCATTCATTCGAATGATACGAACAAAGTCCCAAAATGCGTCCTAACACGAATGAACAAACTGTTCTTATTCTGTTAAG